GACTGCAAACCCATATCAACAACATTTCCAACAAGACATTCATGCTCAACTACACCATGAAGATCATTTGAATATGCATTTTAATCCTATGGCTTATCCTCAACAACAAGCTCAACAACAACAGCAACAATTACATGCTTATGCCCATCAAATACCTACTCCTCAAGGGCAACAACAACAACAACAGCAACAACAACAAGTTCACCAACAACAGCAACAGCAACAAGCTCAGCAACAACAAGTTGGACCAAATCCAATTCAACCAACTTTGCATCAACAAATGCCACATCCATTGTCTCATCACCAGACTCCACAGCCAACTCCACAACCAGTGCAAGCTCAACAACAAGTTCAACAGCTGCCTCAACAAAGACAACCTCGTCAAACAAAGAAGCAGAAACAACAACAGCAACAAAAGCAACAACAGGGCCAAACCCAATCCCCTCATTTGACCCAAGATCAAGTTGATGCGCATACACAAGCTCAACAACACCACATGGCAATGTTGGCTCGTGCAAACCAGAACGATATGTTGGAATTATCAAATAGAAAAGTTGCTCCAAGATCAAGTGATTTGTTCCGTGTTGGTCCTCCATTTTCAATCACAAAACAACACCAACCAGTTTATTGTGCTGGAAGTGATATACCAGTAACTCCATTGTTACATGCCCGTATTGATAGAGGTTTTGAAATGGGTGAAACCGGTTCATGGATTGGTTACAAACGTAACTACTTTACCTTGGTTTCTTCTTTCACTTTACAAGACTTTGATTTTGAAAGATTCATTGGTAACAAATTTTATACATATGATAAAATCAACAACAAGGTTAATGGATTCCCACCTCATCATCCAAGTCATCCACAAAACCAACCACAAAATCATCCAAACCATCCACATCACGCACAACATGCTGGTGAATGTAGGGTCCCTATCAGCTATTTTGCTATCAGATTGGTTGCTAAATGTTCTGATGATGATGTTGCCATTTCTTTGATTCAACATACTGCTAAAAGAGATAAAGGACCACAATTCCCACCACCAATCTACCCAGCTGTTCCTTCTGAGTTGCCAGACCACGAAACAGTCAAGGCCAGTTGTAACAAGCGTAACAACAGTAAGATTGAAACCATGAACAAGATCTTTTATTTTGATAGAGGTAATTACTACCAAGAGTACAATTTGGATAGCATGAAGGACCAATCCATTTTGAAGAGTTACCCAAGTCAATCGATATCAAGGGTTGCCAGATTTGAAAGAATCCAATTCACCAGTTCCATTAGAGTCAAAAGTACCAATGCAACTGCTAGATACTTTACATTACATGTTGAATTATTGGGTATTATTGAAGATGAGGACTTGCAAATCCAACCAATCTTATTGAGTTCTGTTGAATCACCACCATTAATTGTTAGAGGTAGATCTCCATCTAGTTATCACAAGGATAGAACTTCTGGGTACAGATCTACAAACACACCAACACCAACTCCTCAGTAATTTTGAGATAAAGAATAATAAAAAGTAAGATACACACAGCAACAGCCATTATTATTATAGAAATATGTCATACTTTTAATATTTTTCTTTTATTTTTTTACTTGTTACCCTTGTATGTTCAAAACTGACTATAGAGTTTTTTTTTATTTGATGATGATGAAAATACTTTTTAAAACCCATAAAAAAAATACATAAAGAAGAAAAAGGAAAAAAAAAATATGCAGATATAAAATAAAAAGAACGAAACCATTTACAACTTGTATTATATTATAAAACTAAAAGGAAAATCAAAAAAAAAAGGAGAAGACAAACAGAAAAAGGTAGTTTGAATAGGAGCGGATTATTTGTCAAACTAGCTTATTTATCATGTTCTTTTGTAACACTATGCATTTCGTTTATTATAATGTATAAAACTTTTTTTGATTTCGTATTAAATTCAATGTAGAACAAATAAGAGAGAGAGGTTATGAGGTATATCGAAATACCCCCGCCCCACCCCCGCAAGTCAATCTGTGTGTATGGGAGTTCTTTTTACTTGGGAATCATGTATTTTTCTTTTTTCCCTTCGTTGTGTCTGCTGTGAGTGTTGAGTGCGGAATTAGAATTTTTAGCTGTAGAGTTTTGACCTGGGTTTGCTTGGGGCGAGCGAAATCAAAGATTTTACTAAGCAGCGACAGAAAGAAGGTAAAAATGAAATAAGAAGAATAAAAAAAAATTCTCACCATTTCGACAAACAAAAAGGCTAAAAAGAAAAATAATCCACCGAGTATTAGATACACATTTCCCTTTGTCAAGAGCATATACATATTAGATTATATTCACATTTAAAAAGAAAGAGGGTTTTTGGTGTATTATCATATAATCCAATATATCATCACATAGAAACCAACATCAAGCTTATTTTTCATCTTATAGCATAACCTTTTTTTTAATTGGACTTTTTTTTACCCCAGACCTTTTACAATAAAGAGTGACTACGATGTCGCCGAATACTGGTTCAACCAATAACAACACTACAATAGTGCCGTCTTCTGTTAGGCAGTCATATTCCCAGATACCAACACCAGGTTATTACAGTAATGATCAATCCACTCCTATTGAAGATGTCAAGATCATTGATAAACAAAGCATCCAGTATATTATCAAGTCAGGTATTGCTGGTGGTATTGCAGGGTCATGTGCCAAAACTTTGGTGGCTCCGTTAGATAGAATCAAGATTTTATTTCAAACTTCCAACCCGGAATTTATTAAATATCGAGGAACTTTCCATGGATTTATTGATGCTGGAAAACGTATTAGGAAAACTGATGGAATAGTAGGATTATATCAGGGTAATTCCATCACATTATTGCGTATTTTCCCATATGCAGCAATCAAGTTTGTTGCCTATGAACAAATCCGAACAATCTTGATTCCTAATGATAATTATGAAACAGCAGCAAGAAGATTTATGGCGGGTTCATTGTCTGGCTTGGCATCTGTATTTTTCACATATCCGTTAGATTTAATTAGAGTAAGATTAGCATTTGAAACTAGAAATTTGGCCCATGTACAGATACATCAACAACATAAGGAGTATATGTCACATCGTCGAGGAAGAATATTATCGACTGTTCGATTGATATTTAATGAGAATCCTCCACTAAAGCCAACCGATCCATCATGGTTAAGAATATTACGTACATCCTTCCCATCACAAATTCAGCATATCGCCAATTTTTATCGAGGTTTTGCGCCAACTATCATGGGAATGATTCCTTATGCTGGGGTTTCATTTTATACCCATGATTTATTGCATGATATTTTCAGATCCAAATGGTTAGCTCCTTATACAGTACAAACACATTCATCGTCAAACACAAATGTTGTCATAAGAAAGAAAGGGAAATCATCGAGAGAATCACGAGCTCCATTAAAGGCATATGCCCAACTAATTGCCGGTGGGATAGCTGGGTTATGTTCTCAAACTGCAGCATATCCATTTGAAGTTATCAGAAGAAGAATGCAAGTTGGTGGTGCTGTGAATGAAGGTCAGTATTTATCATTCAAAAATACAGCAAAGTTGATTTATCGTGAGAATGGATTTAGAGGGTATTTTGTTGGGTTGAGTATAGGATACATTAAAGTTGTTCCAATGGTTGCATGTTCATTCTTTGTCTACGAAAGAATGAAAAAAGTTTTAGGTATATAGATACAGTCGTTTTATTTATTTATTTATTTATTTATTAATTTATTTATTTATTTACAAGATAAAACATCGAACTAAAAGAACCACCACCATTTCTTCTTACCTGCTTTCACACCAAATTTGGTTGAAGAAGCAGTAATATCCTTGATTCCAGTTTTTGCCAAATCTTTGGCAATACTGGCAGTTGTACTCAATTTATCAGTACCAATTCTAAAACCCCAGCCTCTTAATAGTTTAACAACTCCTGGTGTTATGGCTGCTGTAATTGGTAATCTAATAAAAATCAATGATTTATGAATACCATATGCAATGGCAAACTCTGTCCATGAAAATTGACTCCATAAACGACCCAAAGTAGAAGTTGGTTCCTTAACTTCTGGAACTTCTTTCTCATCAATTTCTTTTTGGATTCTGTTAATTTCTTGTTTTCTCTTCAATTCTTCATCGGAAATACCATAACCAAATGTTTGCTTGAGTTTGTTTTCATAAGTTTCAATTGTTTCTTGTCCCATTGAATGCACCAAGAGGTAGCAGATTGGTAAATCAACTGCCGAAAGACCCAAATAAACCGCAAGTGCAGGATATCCATATTCTTTCATCAAAGCTGCTATTCCTTGTTTCTTCTTTGGTGCGGTACGAGGAGGAATAGTAGACTGATATCTAAATGCTTTGAAAAAACTACCAAATCTATAGTTGAACGCATATCTTTTAACAGGGTTGAATGGAAACATGGTTGATCGTATAGAAATAATAAAAAACAAAATGTGAAAAAAAAAAAAATGAAAAAAAAAAATTAGTGCATTCATTCTACTTTTCTATAAACAAGTTTTTTTTTTTGTCCTTTCTCTCGCTTTCCGAGAGAAAGTAATGTCCCACCTATCTAAACTGAGAATAGAATTTTTCTTCTTCAAATCTTGATTTCACCAAATCAAGAACTTCTTGGGAGTAAACGTCTTCAAGTTTTTCACCGCCAAGTATGACTCTCTTTTCATGGTTTCTTTGTTCATCTTTAGTCATGATAACAACATTTTGACATGAAATTTCCTTACTTGGGTCCCAACGAGATAATGTCAAACGTGTGGAATATTGAGAAATTGGTGATTTACCATGGAAAACCTCTTCCAAAATATAACTAGCATCTTGAGTTGATATTTGTACACGTTGGTCAGTCATGCCAATTCTTGTTTGTTGTCCGGCAATACTTTGTAACAAATCATCATAAGTCTTGTATCTGTTCTTTCCTTCAATTGGTTCCATAGGGTATCCAGAAACTGTGGTCAATATATATGTGGCAATGGCTAAACCAAACATACCAGGCATGGTTCCTAATACGGGTAAGATTCTTACTCTGAAATCTTTCAATGCTGATAACTGGTCAACATTTCCTTTGGAAAATTCATTTTCTGGTAATGGTAACAACTTTGCTTTTCTTGGATCAGGCTTTTCAGCAGAGAATATAACTGGAATTCCCTTGAGAATGCCCCTTTTCTTTAACACAATTCTAATCTTTTTCATCAATGGATCTTCTTCAGTTTTGGAGATATCAGCCATGTTGATTCTAGTAGGGTCCAGTTTGGTTGCTGCACCGCCTGAAGAGACCACAGGAATTCCCTTTTCATAACAATAAGCTAACAAATCACATTTGGTATCCAAATTATCAATACAATCAACCACAAATGTAGGACGGAAATCATCACCATAGATTAATTGTTCCGCCAGGTTGATATCCCATAATTGGTTACGAGCATCGATTTCTATCCAAGGAGCAATTTCCAATAAATGGGTTTTAATACAATCAACTTTTGGAATTCCCACGTCTTTTAAAGTAGCCACAGCATGACGATTTAACGAACTTAATGAAACTTGATCAAAATCAATAATACGCAAATGTTCAACTCCTGATCTGGCCAACATGGTAGCAACCCATGAACCTACTCCACCTGCACCAACAACTACTATTCTTTGATTTCTGACTTTTTCCATCCCTTCTTCGGTAAGAAAAGCATAGTTTCTAGCAAGTTGTTCACGAATCAATTCCTCAGAATGTGGTTTTTTGGTCTCTGATTTTTCTAGTTTCTTTGGTTGTGGTTTATTTTGAAATGCATGATAGGTTTCAACTAATCCAGCAGTAATAGCAGCTGTTGCTAATACTGAAAGAATAACAGTTCGTGTAGACATTCGTTATCGAGATGTTTCTGATTACAGATGTCATTGAAAAAGAAAAATGTATATAGCGAAAAATTTTTTTTTTATTTTTTGTCGCGCTTCTACACAAGTCGAGAATTTCTTTTTTTTTTTTCAATTTCGTATTTATTTTGCAATCAATCTACATACTCTAAAACTTAGCTTTATCTCCTTTTCTTCCAACAGTACATTTAATCAATCCATTTGGATCTGAAGATGGATAGAACAATTCCTTGTTATCTTTAATACCTTTCCATTCTAAGTTAAACAAAATATAATGTTTATTTGGTAAAATGTAAGTAACAATGCCAACTTGTTTGACTTGTTCCAAGATCTTATGAGCCATATTATACATGGTTGCTTGAACTGAAGGAGAATTTTCTAAACAAAACAATTCTAAAGTGACATCTCTAGCAGCATCATAAGTAGTATCGAACAACTTTGGTTGAGACAAAATATCATCCAAGGTGGAAATTTGGGTTGGATCAAAAGTCCAACTAGCATCAACATCAGTAGATAAAATTCTATCCTTGGTTGGTTGTAATGTGGTGTAATCACAAACATTGTATCCGTAAAACATTGACCCAGTGGATTTCAAAACAGTTAAATCTTTGATTGATGAAGTTAATTGTAATTTCTTGGTGAGTTTATCGTAGTTTAAAAACGTACGACGGGTTTCTGGACCATCATATCTAAAAGAATGGGCGTGCTCTTTACCATTCAATTGGATCTTGGACCATTTAGATTGAACAATGGTAACTTCAATGCCTTCAACATGACCATATTTGGAAGTGAAATGTTTAGCTAAATGAGCAGCAAATCTTTCAATTGGCCAAACATCAGTATTCTTAGCTTCTACCAAAATAGTGTTTTTCACCGTATCAGTTGGAACAATTGATGAGTTATCAGCCTTGGTGTATGATTCTTCAAATTTACCTCTTAACAAAACTTGGACATTGGCCTCAAGAATTTCTTGAACAGTTGGGTTGGATTGATCTTTCTTGACCTTTAAAAATTTGACGTTAGCTTTACCGTAAGTGGATGAATATAATTCAGATTGCATTGTGTGTTGGTTTGTTACAGTAAGAATGAGTTTATTTTTTTTTTTGATTGTAGATACTTTCCATCTATTTTTATATCTCTTTTTTTTTTTCTTTATCTTATCGTGAATGGGGGAAGAAAAGAAAATTAAGTTTGCTTTCGGTGATCTCCATATTTAGGTTCTGGAGAAATCCGAAAATCTTGGTCGAGAGTTCGCACTAGTCCACCAAAAGTCGGCAACCCGAATTTACTACGATAATAATCTGTTTATATTAAGTTACTATACATATTACCCATAAATCAATCATTCTTCTTATCAGTATCGGACGACTCCTTCTCTTCAACATCGTCTTCTGCAAATCTCAAATTTTTGATTCTTTTGGTCGTAGTTGTATCTTGGGCACTAGAACCAGTGGCTGTGACAGTATCTGTTGTTTCCAAGTTTTCCTCGACTTTATCATCAAATACCAACTCAGCTGTTCTTATCCATCTTCTTCTTCTGGTGTATTTCGAGAATGTATCTTCTGTGGATGGCTTCTTCCATGTATTATCGTAATAGATGAAACCTTCATCAGAGGAAGGATTGGCCGTGGTCTTAGATCTCTTTGAACTTGGTAAAGTTATAGCACCGTCATTGGTCAAATCCAAACGCCATGTCTTGTCGACCCATCTCCATGTAGCACCTTGTATTTTAGAATCAATAGCATTATGTGTATCATCTAAGGAGTTTGGTAACTTGAATGTATCAATCGAGCTACTTTCATTCAAAAACTCATCTGTCCATGGGGTTCTTTCATATGATAACAAATTGCTTGACCAGCCAATACCCAACCATTTTCGTTGGTTCTCATATATGACATATGTGAATCTCACTGGCTTGGTTGATTTGTTGGCGGAACTGGTACTGCTTACTTTGGCAAATGCAGCAGCAAATAAAGAATGATTTTTAGTTTCTGACAAGTCTAACCCAGTTAAATAGAAGCAAATCAATCTGACAATTTTCAATTTCCAAAGTATTCTTCTAGTGACAATTGAATAGGTTGAATGATATGTCAATAAAAAGATTCCACTGAATAACAAGATCGTTCTTGGTTTGATCAACAAAAAGGTGACGATCAAGTAAACTGGAGTTAAGAACAATGTGGTGAATAACAATCTCTTGATATCATACGCCGTCAAGGACAATGAAGTAATTGGCAGCAAAAACAAATCTGCTTTGATGCATGTCGATGTCAATGCTTGAACAACGTCATCTAATGTAGGATACAAGTTAGCCTCCTCAATAATTTTACTATTCAACATGGCATATAACACTAATATTCCCACAAGAATCAAGTGTCCCATCCAAGTTACTAAACTTTCAAAATACAATACAATCATGGAGAATAAACACACAACAACAACATTGACCCAATTATCATCATTTGTCCAGGTGATGATTGATAAAAACTTGTTGATTATAATTAAATAAGGGTACGATTTGACTAACGCTTTAGAAACCAGTGGCGGTGTTGAAGATAATAGCGGCGAAGATTGTGGTTTTGTCTTGATCTTAGGGTTCTTTCCTGATTCTGCAAAATTAGCTCTTAATTCCGAATCATCCCCCGTACCTTCTTCATTGATAGTGGCGCTATCTTCTGCAACAACGGGACGTGGAGGAATAGGTGGTGGTACTCCTTTACTCCCTTCTTCTTCAGATAGTTTTGCCACGGGAGATTTATCCAGACTTGGTATTTCAGACATACTGATGAAAGGCCAATTGATCTGATGTAGTTGTAGGAGTAATCCAAATGTTGATCGGTTTAAAGAAAGATCCACCCTAACGAAAAAAAAGTCAATAACGATTGCTAACGACTCTCTCATAAGAAAAAAAAAAAAATCACAAGGGGGAAAACAGGCAAAAAAAAAAAAAAATCGTGAAGGCTAGCCAAATCAGGTAAAAAAAAAATAAAAAAAGTAACACTTGGATACAATGGTTTTTATAATTAGTTGATCCAGTTGTAAAGAATATTTATCATATGCAATTGTGAGTTATGGATTTTTCAAGTTTACTTTCAAATGAAATCAATCAAAAACGTAAGAAAGTTGTAACAAAGAAAAGACGGAAACTTACTCCAGCCGCTGCTTCCCCAACAAAAACCGAATCATTACCAAAAGAAATAACCCCACAAGAAACCGAGAAGCCGCAAGTGCAGGAGGAACTTACTGATAAACAGTTGGATCATAAATTGTCTGAGTTTGGAGAAGAAGATAGTTCATTATCACAGAAGGATAAAGTTAGAAAACTAGAACTATTACTACAACAGGAAGTGAGGAATACCAAATATAAAGCATGGTTAGATCAAGAGGCACCACTATATCGTGACCCTAGCAAGCAATTGATGACAGTGGAGTTGATTACAGACATTGAACACAACACCGATAAAGTATACCTAATGCTACGGGTGTATATTAAAGAGTTGGTTAAACAATGGGAAGAATGTGATAACGAAGATCCAGAATTACTTCTAGAAACTAAAAAGAATCTCATCAAGTTGTTGTACAAACTTCGAAGCCATAAATTGACCCAGAGCATGTTGATTTCGTTGCTGACGATCGTATACCATATCCAACAGAATGAGTTCAACAAAGCAAACGAGAGTTATATGAAATTAAGTATTGGGAATGTTTGCTGGCCCATTGGTGTGGTTAATGTTGGGATTCACGCAAGAAATGCGTCTCTGAAGATTACAGGAGCTAGCAATGTAAGTAATATCATGTTAAATGAATCAACCAGACGCTGGATCATCAGTATTAAAAGACTAATTAGTTTCAAGGAGAGAATGCAGAAGTAAGTAGAAAGAAATAAATACAGTTTAGGGCTACAACCCTAACGCGACTTTTACTACCAAATTGCACGACTAGCGTGTACTGGTTAATTTGCTTTTTAACAATTTTTTTTTTATTTTTTTCCCTCAGTGCGATTACTATGGGGCGACAGTATGGGCAAACAACCAAATGAGGAAGGAAAAAAAAAAAGTACTTGAAAATTTCACAATTTGTTAGTTTGTTTGACCCGTCACCTAACACATTAATCAACCATGGCTAGAGAAATTAAAGACATTAAAGAATTCGTTGAATTAGCTAGAAGATCAGACATCAAATCTGCTGTTGTCAAAGTCAACTCCAAGATCAACGCCAACGGTAAAAAATTCAAACAAACCAAATTCAAGGTCAGAGGTTCCAGATACCAATACACTTTAGTTGTCAACGATGCTTCTAAAGCTAAGAAATTACAACAATCCTTGCCACCACAATTGAAAATCACCAACTTGTAAATGGGTTTACAATAGAATATTTTTTTGTTTACATTTAATGAGTTCAAGAGTCTAGCGAGTTTCTACTCGTGCCATCCCAGATTAATAATTTTGTATATTTAATATATATATATATTAGGAAAATCAAACTACATCTTCCATCTCTTCATCTTCTTCTTCTTCATTTTCGTCATTTTCTTTGTTTTGTTCGTTTTCATCTATACCTAATCTGACAGCTCTTTCTGCATCTCTTAATCTTCTATACTCAGGCTTCAAAGTATATTTAGAAGTGTAAGGTCCTCTCTTGATCAAAGTTGCAATTGAATCCAATGACTCTTTCAAGTAAGACTCTGGTTGTCTTGTTCTTTCCTTCAATCCCTTCATTGACCAATACTCATACTCTTCAAATAACCTGAACAATAAATCCAACAAATCTTTCTTTGGCATTCTGATAGCTCTTCCTTCACTCTTGTTTTTACCTTGGGTAGATCTCAAGAACACCGAAGTACTGGAACCCTTGATTGATGGCCCTGCATTGGACTGGATAACACCCGGAATTTCGTTTAATACGGTCACTTTTGGTCTTTCCTTTCCTTGGGTCATATTCTGGCGCCTCATCAATGATTCTCCGTTCTTTGGACCTGTCTTTGATGGAATAACCGTACAATCATGACACACTTTACCCATTAAACTTGTCTTCTTGGGAATAGTTTTAACAAACGGGATATATTTCTTAACTGGTTGGCCATCTTGACCTTCTTTTTGAACTCTGAAGTATCTAAATTTTCTTCTAGGCTGGAATTTCTTCTTTTCGGCGTTTAAATCTTTCAACTGGGGTTGTTCAGGCATTTCTGATACCTCTGTCAATTCTTGTTTGAATTTCTTTAAATTCTCTTCTGTAAACGCATATGAGTTATTGACCTGTGTGTTTAACATCTTTATGTCATAATCATGTGGAATTTTATCACTACTATCATCACTCAACACTAGTTTAACTTGCAATTTACCCTTGCTGTCTTTTCTTATCTTGACATTCCCAAGTTGTTGTCCATTCATGGTTTCTTTATTAGACCATTCATCCATCAAGTATCTAGGTAACTTTACTAACCACACTTTCTGATCACCTCTGCTTAAATTCATGTCCAATGATTCATTCTCTTCCAAGTAATCCTCTGGATCAGACAATATTGATGGCTCATCATCAAAATTTTCTGGATTCGATGTCTCAGGGTTATCTTCCTTTTTGGATGGTTCAGTGGGTTTCTTGACTGGACTTTTTACCGGGCTGGCCTTTACTGTATTTGCTTTGACTGAACTCATGGTTGTGATATGAAATGGTTGATTGTTGAGATAATTGAGTATTCATTTTCTTTGCCTTTCATTTTTTTTTTCTCCGTTTCTATATTTTTTTTTTTTTGCTGTTCCTTTTCTTCATCAACACAAATGATTTTATCACCACCAGTTTACTTAGGCGATAGACATTGTGGTTATTGTGGAGATTCCAAACAGGAAGACCATTATGCATTGGACTCACAGGTGAATTCACATTCTCATAAGGAGTCTGTTATTATGGGGACAAGTATATTACAAATGTCGTGTCAAGAATATGACGAACTTATCAATATGGGGTTTAGAAGATCGGGCTCATTCACGTATAAACCGGATTTACTCAAAACTTGTTGTCGACAATATACCATTAGAACTAATTTATCTATGTGCAAATTGACTAAAGAACATAGGAAAGTGGTTAATCGATTTGTTAAAGAAATATGTCCAGACTTGCCTGGACTGAAGAAAAACGCGTTTGATTTGAACCGATTGAAAGAAGCTCAGATACAATCCACCAGATTCAGAACCAAGTTTGAACCATCTGGGTTTAGCAAAGAAAAGTTTGAATTGTACAAGAAGTATCAAGTTGAAGTACATAATGATGCACCCAATGATGTAACTGAGGAGTCGTTCAAAAGGTTTCTTTGCGATACTCCATTCCCAGAGGAACAAGTCCAAGGTGATGAGTCCCAGTTCAGTGGTTTAGAACTAAAATCTTGGAAGACATCCAGCAAGCCACGCATTGGTCCTACGCATGAATTGTACTATCTAGATGACAAGTTGATAGCTATTTCTGTTCTTGATTTCTTACCTTCTGGCGTCTCTTCTATTTATTTTATTTGGGATCCAGATTATGCTCATTTGAGTTTGGGGACTTTATCGGGGTTGAAAGAATTGCAAATGTGTCAGGAATTGGGGTATAGTTGGTATTATTTGGGATATTATATCGAGGATTGCAAAAAAATGAAGTATAAACTGAAATTTGGTGGTGAATTGCTTGACGTGTGTAATGAAGTATACTTTCCACTTGAACTGATTAACAATTTCATCAAGAATGGTAGATTGTTTGTTGTCGGGGAGAAGGATGAGCTGTACGAAGATGAATTGGAGATGGAAAATCTGGGGTGTCCCATTGATTACAAAGACAGTGACTTTTATGGCAAGGAGTTGACTAATATCGCAGAGACTATATTCGCCAATGATCTGGTCAATGCCAAGGCTGAAAAAGCAAGAAAGGTTTTAGAGAGAAAGTTTAACATCAAACGCAGCAAGTCTAGTGTTCCCGATATTGTTCCTGGCATAATTCCTTTGTGGCAAATATTAGAATGGTTTGATACCGGAGTTCTAGATGATGAATTCCCAGTGGAGATATTCATGGGTGGTGCGATGTATGATTATACATTAGGGGAATTGAACTCATATGGTAGAGGTGTAATAATCGATTGTATTCGAGTTTATGGTATGGAAAGAGTACAAGATCTGGTATTGGTGATGTAATAACAGGCATATATTATCTAATTGACTAATTCCAATGGAAGAAGACGTCCAAAGGATGAGAGAATGATTTTGTGTGTGTTTCCCGTTTGTGAATTGACGGTGGATAGACTAGAAGAGAAGGCAGGAGATTAGGGCCAAAAGCATTGAGCCAAAGAAGGTTGTTGCTACTGAAATTCCTTCATTAGGACACTCGCTTGAAACACCATGTATAGAAACGTTTGTATAGTTTTTCTGGTTATATTTTCTCCAAGGTAGTAAGGCATGAAGGTGGTGTTTTTTGTCACTGTCGCTGTAGATATTATCGCTCTTGTTGTACAATTTCTCTGGCAGCACCAACTCCTTGGATAAATCCTCCTCATACACTTCTGCTGATAAGGCTTCCAATTCATCAAATACATAACCCTGTTCAACCGGCGTTCTCAATTCTCGCAATTGTGTCGAATCATCACTTTGGATATACTCGTCAATCAAACTTTGTAATCTCAAATCATTGGCCTCTTCGATATCAGCACAAGCGATCTTTGTCATATTAGGATAATGGAAAACCAATGATTTTCCAATAATGTATGACTTTGATTTTCTGTTTAAAGACAAGTATGGGTCAATATATTTCAATTCAAAACACGTAGTGTTTATCAACCCATGTTTACCCAGCAAGTCACCTACTTGACAATAAGCATCATTCTTTTGTTCTTCACATTCAGGACTAGCATTGTATGGGTTGAAATGTAAGCCGACGGCCTCACAGTTTCCGTCTCCAGGAACAGATCTTTCATGGATGTGGTAGTAGAAAGGACCTTCATTCTTTGGTAATCCTGTCATGTCAATATGAACATTGACATGTTTACCTTGTTTGGCAGTAAAGACAACGTTCCCAGTAACTTGTTTATTACCACCAAATGGGAAATCAGCAATAGCAACAACGTTTTTCGGGTTTTTCTTAATCTTGGGAGCTTTATCGGCAATTGTAAATGACAATATTGAAAGTATTGCAACTGAGATATGAACAAAAATCATGATTGTTGTAATGTGGATGAAAATCTTCAAAGGAATATGAAGATTAGAACAATAATAACTAGTTTTAAAAGAATCTTAGATATGGTTGAGGAAAGAAAGAGAAAACAAAACAAAAAAGAAAGTTTAGATTTAAAAATATAATGGATCGATTATAAAATTGCATAACAATCTGTGAATAGAATGTTATGATTTAAATTTTGCACAAAAACTTGACCAAAAAAAAAAAATTTATATATTGTTTCGCAACATCCTACACTTATTGTTTCTTTTCCTCAGCTTCTAATTTCTTTTCAATCTCTGCTTTCCAACCTTTTCTTTTTTGCCTTTCTTCATAGGCTTGCTTATTTGCCAACACTCTATTAACAATGTATTCGGTATTCATTTGGTCATATTTGTGTTTTCCGATCTGGCCATAAATATTTGGATCAATTTCATCGTAAACACCTTCGTCGATTTCTGTAGGTCCATGGTAAACTTTAACAATGTTTGTAGCACCCAATTTCTTTAAAAATTCAGGTGTTGGTTTATATGGGGCACCCAATATTATACCGTCTACGTATCGGCATTGTAACACACACAAAGCTCTTTCCAAAAGGTTCATAATCGGGTAGTTCAATCCTTTATATTCGTTAACAACTGCATCATCATGAAGACCAACAATGACCTTGGCGTTTAATTTAGTGGCCTCTTCATGGGCAATCTTTAACACTTCAATATGTCCTGGGTGGAATAAATCAAATCCTCCATCGATATAAACAACATTGCTATGGGTGGAATCAGCGGAAACAATCTCTTCTAAGGAATCACGGTTCAAGTAAACAACCGATCCTGGTTTTAATCCCGTACTGTCTGTGGCATAACGCTTAAATCTATCCAAATTATCTTCATTCAATAACTTGTCGGTGCTCTTGGTGATGGCTGGGTAATGATGGTCTTTGGACATCAACAACATTCTTCCTACCAAGTCTGTGGTGGAAATATTAGGAGTACGTTTAACAACCACAAATCTTCCCAAGTCTTTAACCACTTGATAACAGTCTTCTCCATTGGCATCGGTGGTAATATCGTCTCCATGAACAACATATGGACACTCATACTTGTCCATGTAATCCGGATCTGTCACATATGGAGCATTAGGAATCGCCTTGGTAGTCCATTTACAGGCTTCAACTGCTGTGATTCTTTCATCCAATCGCATAACTGTGGGTCCCTTGTTGGCCAAGATTTCTTCGTCGGAATGAACACCAACGTACAATTCCTTCCCTAACTGACGTGCTTGTAACATTGCGCCCGCGTGGCCTTATCAAACTTGTTAGTATTGTCTTCAATTGGTAAGATTTAAAATAAAAAAAATCCCAGTTTCACATACCATGATGTGCAAAATCAAAGCATCCATCAATCCAAATTCTACAATTCTCAATTCCTTCTGGTCTTTCATACATTGTTGGGGACTCGTTGTAGAGAAGAAAAAGGAGGTTGGTGATTGTCAACGTTTTTTTTTTTTTTTCTGTTCCTATTTGCGGTAAAACGGGGGAAAAAAAATTATTTACTTTCTGTCAAATCGTGATTTTTTACATAAATCCGGATTGTTGCTGTCCCACCTCAATTGAGTCACGTTGTTTTTTAAATGGATTTCTTGTAGGTTCATTTCTGACAGGTTCCAGCATATTGATACCTCGTTGTTGCGAGGTTCCAAAAAACGTCAGACTATTAGTTCCAGCAGTAACACCAGTACCAGCGTATCGAACTCCCCTTTCTGAAGCTCTTTCTTTTAACATTTTTTCAAGGTAAACATAAACCATTCCTGCATTTCTGGTGGAACAGGAATGCAACCAACCAAAGAAACTCCCAATAACTGGAGGAAAAGTGATTAATAAATCAAACATGATATTTGCTTGCATTTGCGAGATTAGTTTGTTTGGGAGATTGAAATTCTGCTGGGCAATACTGATTAATCTTGCGTGAACTGCATACATGATTATTGGACCCAAAACTGGGAAAAGTAAAACCACCAAAGGAGCCAATCGCAATCCACAATCCATACCGACTCCACAACTTCCCCAAGAAACACCTGTCGTCAACCCATGCCTGTGATTGGATCTTTTTTCGAGGCTTTTTGTTCTCTCTTTGGTTGCCCAACTCTTTAGGTAGACGCACCTTATTCCCGTCTTTGTCTTCGTATGGATCTGCCTTTGCATTCCAATGTTCTTCGGCATACTCGTTGAAATAATCCATGGCCACGCCATAGCCAGGGATATTCTCTAGTTGATCTTGCAATTGGGACATGGTTGAAGAAGGAAGAAGGATGAGCCGTTTATTTTTTTCGAGAAAAATTTACTGAATATTAAAGTGGATAAATCGGTTAGAGAGAACGGAAAAAAAAATACCGCAAAATCAAATTATATTTTCATCTATTTCCTATTTACTGGTATCATGACTCCGTTTGTTTCTTCTTCACAGATGTAACATTTACTGTTCTTTTTCACCTTGAACCGGTTTAAAAAACACCCCTTGCAATAAACATGTCCACATTGAGTTCTTATGGGTGATTTGTAATCATCTTTGCACAAAACACATTTGAACGGGATATCCTCGATATTTTTACTTTTTTTACTCACTACCCAATCTTTGTTTATAGGGATTTTTTGTTTGGATTCATCTCGAATATGTAGGAACTTACATGTATCACCATACCCACAATACCCAGTTTGTTGGAAGTCTTTACATACATCTGGTTGGAAGTCGGTAATTACCGTGGTTTTAATATTAGCGGCAAGTGGCTTTAGTTGTCCCTTGCTGGACGGAGTGGATTTAATTTCAACTGCTGCCGCATCGGAGGTCTTTTCCAATGGGGAGGGTGTGGTTTGTTTCACTGGAGCTTTGATGGTTGTAGTGGTGACCTTTTTCTTCACAGGAGCATCATCACCTGCTTCATTAACATCATCTATCTTTCGTTTTGAAACTTGTTGGGATTTTACTACCCTTTTTTTAAACATGTTGATGATTGGCAAATCATTTATAAGTTTTTTTTTTTCTCGGTCTTGTAAATTTTTGAACTCCTCTTTTTCTTTTTTAAAACCCCCATCCAATGATCCCTAGAATTTTTGCCAGACCGTTGCTAACTAGGCTATATTCGACAGGAGCCCCTGTTTCATATTTCAAGTTATTCCCTCATACGTTCCCACATGGTGGTCCACCAAAGGACTCTTTCCTCATCAATGATAGGGTGTTGCGTCGAGAGTATCGTGCATTACAAAGCGAACACCATCCAGATGTATCCGCAGATAACGGCAAGTCGTCAGATATAAACAGAGCATATACAACTTTGAAGAATCCATATACAAGAATTGCACATTTCATTTATCTCAATCTGCCTGATCATGTCAATATTACAGAGGATCTGGTGGCCAAGAAATTGATCCAAGAGTATCAACAGCAATCAATGGAAAATTCCATGAATTACAAAGAAATGCTCATGCTGGTATTGGAGGCACACGAACAATTAGAATTGGCCGAGCTGGAACACCAATTGGAAACGTTGGAGACAGAAAATGATGCACGTATTGATAGCACCGAAAGTAAGATCCAGCATTCTTTACATGAACCAGTGATCAATTGGGAAGAATTAATGATGGACGCCATTAGGTTAAAATACTGGGTGAACATCCAAAACGGAATTAAAGAATGGGAACCAGGCAAGCCTGTGCATTTGACGCATTAACTATTTATTAAGAATAATATACAAACTGGCAGGATGGTTTTATTCACTTGCCATAGTTCTATCATCATCATCATCATCCTCTTCGTCGTCGTCCTCCTCCTCTTCATCGTCGTCATCCATATCTTCATCTTCTTCTAAATAGCTAATAGGTACATTATACTCACACGAGTTGTATTCTTGTTTTTCCTCTTCGGTCTTTGGATGCATTCTTAGCCACTTCATTCTAGGTCCAGTAGCACTTAGTTCATTAATCTTGAATCCAAACAATTTCAACCCGAAATCATTCTGACTAAACTTGTTTATTCTTATTCTGCATTGATTCTCAATTTCTGGGAACATCTTCACAAGCAAACCTGGAAACGTTGTACCAAAGAAAGCCCCATCAATATTCAAGTATCTCGAACTGGAAGGAATATAAATATCGTTACAACAAGGACAGAACAATCTTACTGTTTCCTGTCCTGGAACATCTGTTGAACCAACAGGAATCAAATGCATACCATCACAAAAGTATCTTGGACAGGAACCAAAATCATTTCTTTCAAATTTAGATGCCATGGCGGTTAGACCTTGTTTGGACACTATGTATCTCGCATGTATTAAACCGTATAGTAATTCAGCGGAATGAGCCAATAATGCTTTATTTGGTAATTCTGTAGGGTTTCTTTTGCTTCGTGACTCGTCATTATTATGATCTTCGGCTGTTTCCACTTGATAATCCAATATGGTGTATAATGCTTCTCTATAGTATGGAACCTGCTGGGATAACCCGGTCAAGTTGAAATCATCTTCAATAAAATCTTGTGCTACCTGCACAAAATAGTCGTGGCCAAATAGTTCACAGTATTGCTGTATCCAAGGTATGTAATCTTCTTCAGGATCACTGGGCATTATTAGTAAATGATTGAATTATCTGTTATGACTTTTCTGATGTTTGTATGATTATTTTTTTTTTTGGCTTCTCTATGAACTGACGAAAACAACAAATTTTTTTTTTTCTCTTTGTCGATGGCACTTGTTCAACGAATTTACGTTTTTCTTTTTCTTTTTTTTTTGTCTCTGTCTATTGCTCACACTCACTCACTCACATTAGGACAATGTTTCTTGATTTACATCCATATACTATTTTAGTTTCAATTTTCATTATTCTTTTGGTCAAACAGATTGTTGGAAGAATTGGTAAATCTACAATACAAGAGTTTGTATGGTTGTTGTACCTTAAGATTTCACCTAACCAAGCAATCAAGGATTATAATACCAAGAAAGTGGAGTTACATGAGATAAACAAACAGAAACGTTCAATTAGTGCTCAAGACGAATATGCCAAATGGACCAAATTGAATCGTCAAGCAGATAAGTTGACTAGTGAAATACAAAAGTTGAATGAAGAAATCCGTCAACTGAAGGCATCAATTGATAAACTTGCCAATGTGTTGCTTATGGTTTTGACTACATTGCCAATTTGGGTTGCTAGGATTTTCTTTAGAAAGACCCATTTGTTCTATTTGAGAAGTGGAATTTTCCCAAGATACATTGAATGGGTATTGGCATTGCCTTTCTTCCCTTCAGGCGCTGTCGGTTTGACTGTGTGGATGTTTGCTGCCAATTCAGTAATTCACAATGTTATATCGTTGGTAAGTTTTGCATTTGAAAAGAGAGTCGAAAAACCAGTTAGGCAAAAGAAGTAATGTATATTTATACAAGTTCAAGAAGTTCCTTATTTCTCGCAACCATTACGTCTTGTAACTGCGTTGGGCAATCAAACTTGTAGGAGTATATTCTCTTGGAGATTTTGTCTTCTTCATACGCTAATCTCAGTTTATTTATCATTCTTTGTAATACCCCATCAAGCTGTTGATCTTGTGGTGTTGAATAATACCAAGAATCAATCACTTTTATCCAACACCCTAAATCCAAGGAATAGCCAAAAATATCGTTTGTAGTGTCTAATAGTACTAATGGAGAGCCATCTTTAGGGTTGATTTCTAATGCCCGGACATTTGGTGTAAGTACCGATTTGCCTTCGACTTTGTAGTTGTTGATGATGGTGGCCATGGATACACCTTGCATTGTGACTTTCATCGACGTTAAATTCCACCCATAGAGTAAACCTGAACTTGTCAACCCCACAAGTGTACCTTTAGTGTCATGTTTAAGAGTAACAACACTTTCACCCAATTCAAAGGTGGGACACGCATAAGCACCAGTTGGTGTAACAATCTGAATACTTCCATTGAATGAACAAAAGACATAAAACTGGAGGACATTGTCAATCACGATTGGTAGCACGTGCTGGATACGAAATGGGAAGAAAAGTGAAAACACGCGTTCTTGTGCACCTTCATTGGTGACAATCACTCTGGTGGGATCATCAAAATCACGATCAGATTCGCTCCAAGGTTTTCCATTACGTATTTCAATGGTGGTGCGTATGTTTTCTGTTACAATAGTCTCTTGGTGACTAAACAGTTGGAACACCACAGAAAAGGCTAAATCTTCGTCCACTTCAACAGCCGCACCCCACGAAAGTTCGGCCAGGATATCTTTACTGTGAGTTTTATAGATTTTATTGATGGCAATGTTTTGCAATGCATGATTGTTGAATAACCCTTCTGGTAGGTTACTAATCAACTTGAATGCACTAGGGTATTTCTTCTGCATTAGTTTTCGTTTCTGTTTGTTTTTCTGTTGTTTGAGCCAAGCATCAGATACCGAGTTGCTAACCGTTGTGTCTGCACCTATCTCTTCATTATCGTTATCATCGTCATCCTCTGGGACTATTTGTTCGGATTTGTGTTTCATACCGTACACGGCTGTTTGCAAACCTAACCTAGGGATGGTATAGTTTGGTTGGGAGATTTTTGAACTGGATTTGAGTTTTCGTTTCTTTTCCACAGGTGCAGGTGGTGCAGGTGCCGTGGATGAGGAGATCAACATTGGGGCTACTCGTTTTTTACCAGACTTGGTTACAGTGACTTGTTGGTTACGGAGTTTGTTGATATCAATAGACGTTCTGGTGACAAGAGCTTCTGTCTTTTCAACTTTGGTATTATACAATGGCATCATTCGTCTTATGGCAATAGACCGGATATTCTTGGCCTTTTCTTCTAGTTGTAATTGTTCCACGCTTTCTGGTAAAACTGTACTGTCTCTATCGGCCCCGTAACGGTTTAATTGTTGGTCTATCAAATCCTCGGTAACAACTTTCCCCAACTCACCATCTAAGAATCTAACACAGGTTATTGAACCGTCTAAACAACTGAAGTAAAAAGTCTGTCCATCTGGAGCCCAACAAATATCAGTTATGGCACTATCAACAATGTCTTGACAAACAACAATAGGACGCGAATTACTTGTAGACCATACTGCTAGCGTACGATCCTGGCCACCAGTGGCCACAACAGTTTGAAACTTTGGTTCATCGTCTTCTGAAGCTGGTTCACCAATTTGGAATAACCTTGGACTGAAGGCACATACTTCTACTGGTGCTTCGTGACCAATTAACGATATATCACAACCCCAATTCCCTCTATTGATTATCGCCACAGATGGGACGGGTCCATTGGTTGCATTTGGCACAGCTATATGTTGACCATCTGGAGACCAACTCATTCGCCTGAAATACGATGTTAATGGTGATTTCTTGAATGGGTCTATCACGGTATGTTCCATTTGAAACTCGTAGTTGTTGTATTCATTTAGTTTTTTGTAGTAACGAAATATCCTCACAGTTCTATCATCAGAAGCAGTGGCAAAGAACTTATTAGCTGGATCAAACACCACACCCTTGACCATGGATTGGTGAATATCATAACGTTTGATTCGTTCAAAAGTTAATGCATTCCAAATGATTATCGATCTATCCAACCCAACAGTCACCAATAAATTCCCATCAGGTGACCAACAGATATCTTGAATATCATTATCATGGGCCACTAATCTTTTTCTCACGGTCCAGTGTTCCAAATCTTGTTCTTCACTTCCAAACAGCTTTGGTATCTGTGTGTTGTCCTTTTCCCAGATTAAACAAATTTTATCATCTGATCCCAGGGCTAACCACCTCCCATCAGGGGAGAATTTAAGTGACGTGACAACCCCGTTGTGTCTTGACATTGTACATAATGGTCGACGTAGGGATTTGTCTGGGAGATTGCCAGACACATTGAAAAATTCATTTATGGTTGGTACGTCCCAAATTTTTATATTCCCATCTAATCCTCCAGATGCAAGTCTAGTACCATCATGATTGATGGTTACAGCATAACATTCAACCTTTTTGTTTTCTGTCTTATGCCCAAACCACGGGATTTTAATTATCTGCATGGGGTTGTAGATTTTTGTTGTTGTGGGAGTGAATGTTTTGTAGAGGGTTTTTTTTTTTTTTTGTTTTTTTTTGCGAATGTTTTGTAGAGTTTTTTTTTTTTTTGTATTACAAACTACAGAACTATTTCAACTCATATTCCATTCTAAGAGCTTTACCAAACTTTTTCAACCCGTCGACTAATTTTTCTAATGGAACAGCGGCATATGTTCCTCTGAAGAAAATATGTGTTTTATGGTTTGGGTTTTGTGGCAAGTTTTTTTGTGGAGGACTGGATTGACCTTCACTCTTGAACCAAGAACCTCGAGCTAACAAACACCCTTGTTTGATGGCTTGGTCGTGGATAACTTGTTCGACTTTCAATGGATCTTCACCAAATTCTTTAAATTTTGGATGTTTAGAAGCATCAACAGTCATGGTGAAAAACATACCGGCAACTGGAGCGTTGTAAGTGACAACTTCTTTTGGTAAATATTCGTCAACAGCATCGATGGCAACATCTCTCTTGTGGGTGTACTCGGCTCTTAATTTGATCAACCAGTCCAAATAACCAGAGTGGCCCCATTTGCGTAACAAGGCGTTGGTGATGGTTTCAGAAAACCCAGATGGGGTTTGCACGGACACTTCGTGCAATCTAATGAATCTTTCCAATAATGCCTTTTGTCCAATAATCCAACCCAATCTCAAACCTGGAGCAAGAACTTTGGATACAGAATCCAATCTGATAACTCTACCTTCAACATCGAGGGAGATGAAAGATGGGACCAATGCTTTGATAAATTCGTCGTGGTCGTGGACGGCTTTACCTTCACGGGAAGCCTTGTTTTTGGTGTATGGTTCCATTTGCAAAAAGTAGTAAGGTTCATCTTCGACAATGATAAAGTCGTATTTACAAGCAATGTCGTAGATTTTTCTTCTTCTTTCAACACTCAAAGAAGAACCAGTAGGGTTTTGACCAGTACAGATGGTGTATAAAAGTTTTGGTTTGCTTCCAACCCATCTACTCATTAATTCCTCTAATTTTTCTGGAATAATACCAAATTCATCCATGGTGACTGGAATAGTGTTGATACCTTGACCGTTGGCAGTTTCCAATGCAGATGAGAATGAGTACTCTTCAACCAAGATGGAATCACTTTTACTGCAGAAGGTTCTTAAAGTAGAATCCCATGATTCAGTGTTACCAACCGATACAACGGCATCCCAATCTTCATAAGGAACCTTGTGGATCATTTCGGTGTGTTCTTTGACAAATTGCATCAACTCAGCTTGACCTTCGGTACCGCCATATTGCAATGCTCTGGCTAATTCTATTTGGTCTGGTTCATTGTCTGCTTTTTTCTTGTACACTTCAACAGTGGTTTTGTTTTCACCAGTGATTGGAGCTCCAATACCGCCAGCGAATGATGGAGTTGGGATATCAACAGTGACTCTTTCAAATGGGAAATAATCAGACATTGGTAAACCCCCAGCCAAGTAGGCGACGTCGGTGTTGAAGTATTTGAGAACTCCCTTTAACTCGGAGGTTTGTCTATTTCTAGATTCGATGGATAACAAGTGAGTCAAGTCTTTGGCTTTTGTAGATGCTGTCATGGAGGGTAGTTTGATAGTTGGTTGTTTGGTGAGTAGCTGTTTGGTGAGTAGCTGGTTGTTGATTTTTCTGGGGGAAGAAATGTAGGAATTTATAACGCTGCGGAAAGAGGAAGAAAAAAAAAATTTGTCTACTTTAGGCGACAAGTGAAAAATGACTAATTGAGAAATTGCCGAAATTAAAGTGCGGAAGCGGGGATCCGGGAAGATAAGATAAGCCAACAAAAATTAGAAATGTGTGCGTGGCACGTGCTGGGAAAACGTGATGCATACACATATTGGTTATATCTCCCCCTATACTACTAATTGAATGATTCAGGTACACGCGTTTTATGGCCGATTGTACAAAAAGCATTTTGCTTTTCTTTTTGTTCTCGAAAAGTGTTCCTCGTGGAAATTTTTTTTTTTTTTTCTTTTTTGAACAACGAGAAAAGAAAAACCAATTAAAGAAAAGGTTTCTTTTTGTTCAACCACCAAACCATGATTAGCATTGACTTTTTGGCCAAGTTACTTAGTTTACCGTATGTGGTGATCAAGGCTGTATTGCAGTATTACACTGTGGGTACCATCTATAGTCGTACAAACATTGAGTTTCGCAATTCTTTGTGGAAGAATGTGTTGTTATCGGTAGAATATCATATGAGTGGTAATTACAAGAAGCAAAACGTCAAGGCTGTTGTTTATGAGCCAGTTGAGAAGGTGTTTAAGCAAGTTGCCAAAAATCCTATGGTTAAATCTTTGAATGGGTTTGGGGAAAAGTTTGATGCCCGTTCGTATTGGATCCACAAGAGTGACAATCCATCGGGTAAAGTTTTGGTTTACCTTCATGGTGGTGGGTATTTGTTGAATTTGTTTAAATCGCAGTTGGTTTCTATTGCTGCGTTGCATTATGCATTGGATGCAAGGGTTGCTGATGAGTTGTCTATTTTGGTTGTTGATTACCTGTTGACACTTTTTGATCATGTATTTCCAGCACAATTGGTGGAGAGTCTTGAGAGTTATACCAATTTAATCAAAGCTGGGTTTAAGGATATACATCTTATTGGTGATTCTGCAGGGGGCCATTTAGCTGTTAATATGCAAATGGCTATTGCCAATCCAAAGGAGACTAAGGAGATGTTTGCGGATTTTGGATACGACGGTGGTGCTCTTGATGGGAAACTTGTAGCTCCAAAAAGTTTATCGTTGCTTTCGCCATGGGTGCAACCAACTGTTGCGCCAATTGTTTCGCCGGGAGTCAATACATGGGGTGACCTTGGGGCTTTGGATACTACTCTTGGGGAATTGTTTGTTGAAGGGATTCCAAAAGATCAATTGGCCAGATATAATAGATATATAAACTTGTGCAATGTGCCACCACTCCCAGAAACATTGGTCATTGTTGGTGAAAGAGAAGTGTTGAAGAATGGTATTGATATGTTTGTTGCTGATGCCCAAGGTCCTATAGAGTATCACGAAGAGCCAGGTGGTATTCACGCAGCAATGGTTTATGTAGAAGGGTTAGATTATTCTGGAAACAAGGGAGCCAAGAGGGCAATTGCTGGAGATTTTACAAACAAGTTTGCCTACAATTTGGTTGCTGAGTTTTTAAGTAGAAATGTATAGAAATTTAACCTAGTAATTGACTAGTCAAGATTGCCAAATCGGCGGTCGCCTTTGATAAATCACGTTGTTCTGTAGATGTACCGTGGTATGTTAACAAATTAGCAATCATCACCAATTGACTTGGGTTGAGGGAAGACATTCTGTCTGTGATTTTTTGTACTGCTTCATTCAAGTTTTCGTCGACCTTTTTATCCTCCTTGCGATTAGTGATTGTTGATGTGGCGATGGCTTCAGTTTCACTTGAATCAATGACGGTTTTAACCAATTTGCCGTTGAGATAACACTGTGGTTGGAATGATTCGTCGATGGTTAGGAATAAATCGTTGGTTGGTTGTTTGTCTTGTAGATTGTACCTTCCAAGGATGGTGGATTGGGGGTAGACGTCTTTGAATAGATTAAACCTTTCCTGGATATATTCTGGGTCTTCATGAGCAAGTTCAACAGATGTCACGACGACTAATTTGTCTGGCAAAACATATCCCAATAACAATCCTGTTGAGTTTCCCAGTTGACGTGTTAGTGTATCTGCAAGGTTGAGCAAGACTACTGAATGGAGATCCACAATCATTGTACATGTACAAAGGGGGGAAGGAAAAAAAAAAGTACGAAATAAAAAAAAAAAAAAAAAAAAAAAAAAATTTTTTCTCCTTCTTCTCTTTTACTCCCCCATCTCTATAACATATGATGTCTCTTGAAGTTTCACGAAAAAGAGGTATTACCACTGAAGACCTCCCGAATAAGAAACAGAATACGATGAGTGATGATGAGTTTTCAGAAAAGATGTACTCGTCGTATGTGAAATCTGCATTGGAGAAGGATGATCCAGTTCAGATAAATACCATCACTGATAAGATAAGTCTCCCCATTGGCAATAAAGAAGCCATTAGCATAAGTCATTTCTCCATAGTTCTTAGATCATTGGCTTCGAATACGTCACGGTTGGATAACAAGGCGTGTCATAATATGATTTTTGCCATTCTTGAGTATCGATGGATGGATGTGAAACATCGTGATGGGTATAGCAGGTTTGTGGAAATGTATTCCCAGTTTTTAGTTGCATTGGTATCGACATTACCTAAATATTTGCATGAAGTTATGAGCAAGTTGGTTAGAGAGTTTGACAGACAGGATGTGGATACCCACCACGAGGTGTTGATCAAGATTATCAAGTATATCCCCACTTCTATTAGTATGATTCCACAGGTGTTGCAGAAGAATTTCCCTCATCATATATCGTCTAGTAATAGTGAATTGACTAATTATGTGCACAACCTTGTTAAGATAATACGTTACTGTCCCGAGTTGCAATTTGAAATCTGGCAAATGATTATTGAGTCGTCGATCAAAATGGATACAGATTTGCAGACATCACTTGATGATGTTGATGATGAAGAGATTGAAGAATTGTTGAACGATGAAGAAGACGAAGTGGCCAGTGATAGTGAGGATGAAAGTGATGATGAGAGTGGAGATGACGAGAGTGGTGATGACGAGAGTGATGATGAGAGTGACGACGAGGAATGGGTTACTGCTCCTACTACAGATATCAAATCGTTGCTGAACAAGCTTGACAGTGTGATTAGTTTATTGTTGACGTCGACCAGAGACTCATTCACTCTTGAAGAGTTGAATAACGGCAATGGGGTTAATTTGTTCAATACTATTAACTCATTATTCAAGAGTCATATACTCCCAACACATTTTACGAAGCTGATTCAGTTTGTGTTGTTTCATGTTACCCAGTACCAACCTGAGTTGGCTGATTCGTTTTTGGTCTTGTTGATTGATGTTGCATTTAACCCTACGGAGATTTTGGAGAAACGATTGAAAGCGATGCAGTATTTGTCGTCGTATATTGCACGAGCCAAGGGGTTATCGCGTCACCAAGTTGTGTTTATAGTTAGTTATCTTGTTGGATGGTTGAACAAGTTTATCCTTGAAAGAGAACAAGAGGTTGAATCTGGTGGGATGGAAAGATTTAAATTGTTTTATGCTGCATTCCAGGCGTTGTTGTATATATTCTGTTTCCGATATGAGATAATTGCTTAAGGAATGTGATTTGGAGACGTTTTTCCAGCG